CCTAGGGTAAGTACCAAAGATACATGTATGTTTCCTGGAACAAAACAATGTTTACTTGACCTTGTATGTTTGTGTAGTACAATTCTATTTTTGTGGCTCTAGGTTTTATTTACATCTTCTATCCTATGCTATGACGCTTTCTAATATGCTGCGCTCCATAGAAAGCCTAAAATGTGCTCCTGGGTGGGGAGCCGGGCCCCTCCGAGTTATGCCGCCCCGTATCTCTCTTGAACTCCTCTCCCCACTCATTATCAGTCAGTTACTTTCACAAATATCCACGGGATCTATTAATATGTCCACCCCCTAGCTGGCACATTTATATCCCGTGATCAAAAGGGAACAAATTCTAATCAATGCCATCATATAAATAATTAATATTCTATCAAGTGCAGGTTTCAGTTATGTCTATACTTACGAATACCCCCCTGGGGCCCCACTCGGACCATCACATTCCTAAAGACTTGATGGGATATTTCGAATACGTCGTATTGAAATGTATAAAGAAAGAAACATTGGGATTCTCATGCTCCGCGAGCAGGGCAACCTTCCCAAAACCTCTGTGCGAACTAGAGATGGTGGTGGTGGTGGTGGGCCGAAAGCTTGTCATTCGTCAAAACCCCCGAGGTCGTTTTTGGGGAATTCGCCACTTGTGTTGTGGTACAATAGGTTCGATTAAATTTGTACCATGCACGTCAATGATCTTCCTCCAGCAGCAACAGCAGCAAGCAGCTTAATTAATGGTAGCCTTAAGGCAACCGCTGCAGGTACCGTCCGCACCGGCATATACGTACATATGCTCCAGCAAGCTCGACATAAATTTACGCATGCAAAGTGCGGGGGACATCAACCGTGGCTTCGGGCATGATGCCAAAATCGCAAAGCGGGGCCGGACGTATTTTTTTTTTTAGTATTATGTTTTTCCCAAGCGAAGTAGGTTTCATTTTATTTTGATTTCAGTCCTTGATATTTTATGTGCGCATAAGTACTATTGCGCACGCAGTGGCGCTGTGTGATCTCTTGTAAAAGTACAGTACCTACTTTTTTTTATGAGCGCTCAGACATCTGAAATGAAAAACCATATGCATTTGGTTACTACTCGTTTACCACGAAAAGAACCAGAAAATGCAAGTGACGGAAACAGGGATAGTTTGTTTGAGAGATCACCGCCACTCCATACAAATAATCCTTGCCTTGAGCAACTGCATTTTCTGGTTCTTTTCGTGGTAAACAAGTAAGTACATGTAGATTCTCCTGCCAATGATCCGAGGGCCCGCGAAACAGATCAAAGTCACTCGTGCGTGGTTTAGGGTTCTGATTAATATCGATCTTAACTACTCAATCTATTTTTGCAACCAGTCCTGGGTTTCTAAGCAGGAAAGGAGCCGCACGCAATGCTTGGCATTTGTGCCATGTTTAAGGACCGCTTGAATTGACGAGCTGTGGTGATGAGGCTCCGGCCTAATTACGAGAGGTCTGGGCGATGCATGTTTCACACGTGGAATGGAGGCTCTACACAATTCCCACGTGAGGTGAGGTTCTGCGTGGGGAAAAACACGGAATATCACTCGTTAGGCCTGGGCTGTGCGAAGGGAGAATCCCTACAGGTACATATCTTATGTAACTATTATGAGATTTTGGGGGAATATATGCCTTGATTGATAGCTATTTAGGGATACCGTGAGCCACACAGCTCACTACTCATAAAATTCCTCCCGAGGAAAAAAACTACTATTTTATTTCTGGTTGCTCCGTGTGGCCAACTAGCTCCCTAGTACTTGAAACATAAATTTGTTTATGTTCCCAAAGCGGGCTAATGCAACGTCAACTATCAATAGTCCATTAGCCTCTACACACTTTATTAGGAATGAGATCATGGAATGTAAAGTTGACTGGTTTTCTCTGTAGATATTGTGCCTTGCAAGTACATATGTCCGCTTCTTCCCCATCATGACGGGCCACAAGCCGGAGTAACAATGCCAAGATGGGTTAGGGATCAGGGCCGGTAGGACACTTGGCGCCGCTTGTTAAGCGGACGTTTTTTTTTCTCGCTCCTGTTATTTGCCATGTAGGGGGGAGGGGATCGATCGAGGGGTAAAAGTTACCTGGTATGCAAATCCCCGGGGGACAAGGAGCGAAACCGCGGTTCCTATTGTACTGCCACGTTTACCTTATTGCAACTTCATGCTAAGTCCTCCGGTGTCGCTGAATGAGTCACGGAAAGTGACTCGGAGAGAACTAGTAGAGTATGTATAATGTGTTTTTCTTGATTTTTCTTTTCTTTTCTGCGTGGCTTTTCTAAATGTTTCTAAAAAGTTCGGAATAAGTATATTTGGGTCATTGGAATGTTTCCCCCCAGAGACCTCGTTCATGCGCAGGGGTCTGCCCGCAGCGCGAGTTCTGCAGATCCATCTGCCTTGTTACTAGTAGTCACGCTCCCGTAGATATTCTACAATAAGGCTATTAGGTTTTCTCTCGGCGTTTTGATCAACACGCGAGTCACGAAAAAAAAGTCCGGAAAGACAACATCACTTTTGTTACCAAATTCTTTCCACATATTTCCGGAGAAACCGAGGCCTGGGCATTAACAACGATGGGCCATAAGCTCCCATTAGAAATAATTATCTAGATGTTTCTTCAATGTGCCGAATTATCACCAGCAACCTCGGTCTTTGGAGGAAAGACGCCTTGCGGGACGTTAAGTTGTCACGTTTCTACATTCTGTATTTTTGGGTTTCTCCGGCCGGTGAACAACTGGAATGTTTGAGCAGAACTCATGATGCCACGATTGCCGAGAGCATGAAACACAAGACCACTGTCTCTTGGTAGTGGAAAGGACGGCCTAGTATTTGTTTTTTTGACTCTTAGTTGCATTGCGTCCTGAAGGGAGTGGTCACTATCATTGACCTTATGGAGGGACGTAGTGACTTGGTCCCGGCCGTGATCTATGTTGGTCATTGTTCAGAGGTACTAGGTCGTTTTGTGACGATGACTTTATGCAATTGTTCAGGACTTGGAATTGTCCACTCCGGTGCCTTGGGGAAGAGGAAGGCGTGATGTGTCGGTCGAGTGTATTCCAAGATGATGCCGAGTGAGGAGCTGTGAGCCAGGCTAGGCGCGCGTACGCAATGCCGCGTGTGTAAGTATACGCGACTGCGTGTAAGGAGCCATGATAAGATAGGATCTTATCGGTGTTGAAATGATTTGGGTAAATGATTGCGACGCACGCATATAGAGTCTGGATCATTTGTTCTTATCTCCAACAGTTCAATGGTTTAAGAGATGCCCATCCTCGCGCAAGTTTGTCAGTCTTAAAGTGGAATTGGAGTTGCTAGCAGCCCTTCATAATTATATACTCAGTAACCTTCTATCATAATCATAGAAAAAGGACCCCAACGATCCACTATTAAACCCTCCCCAGGATGCTGATATGCGTATACTCCATAACCGTATACTAACTGAGTGGAATAATAGGCAATTAATATACTTAGGCTTCGCCATTCATCACTCGATCTTATCCGCGCCGAGCCTATCGAAACTTGGCAGTATGTGAACGCGGGTCTGATGACTTATGGTCGGTGAAGGGCCGGGACGCAACGCAACAACCAGCGAAAAGGAAACCTAACAAACATCAATTTCTACACAACCTCCAGATATGGGAAATAAGTAGGAATAGGTATAGTTCTAGGCCATAAATCATGGGAAGGCGCGGCGTAGCAACCTCCCGGGCCACCACGACTACCCACCCAGCAACCACAATTGATCCTTTGGAGAGCTGTTTTTTTGTATAGTTGTTCAATAGTAGCTAAATAAAGATAATTGGACATTTAATATCTTGTATACCAGCCCCTTGCCTTTATAACAGCTCTATTCTCCTAGGCATGCTCTCAACTAGCTATCAAATCAATCATCAGGTAACAGTTCCCAGCAATGAATTAAACCTTCCTCCACGAGGGGCTTTAATACTTAAAGTGATCTAGCACCATATGCCAAATGAGGGTACTGTTGATGGTAAAGCTTCTTGATGTGTACCCAAACATGTTCAATGGGATGGAATAGGCAAGCCAGTCCTCCAGAACATCTACCCTATTCTCCTCCAACCAGAGCTGTAAGACTCCGGTTTTTTGCCACAGCAAGGAGGCTGGTCATTCCCTCCTAGCTGTCTGGCGGGGTACATGGTCTCTGGGCGCCATCGGTGGTGGTGAAAGATTTTGTGTTCAGGCGTTGCGACCTCGCGCCTTCCCATGACTTATGGCATGGCGCTGTAGATAGACTATTATGTGTAAAGATTCTGGCGGTGGTGTCAGAACAAATGATTTACAAGTCTTCGCTTAATCTTTTTTATAGTATCTTAAAACTTTACGTTTCAACCTACTTGATGTCGAGCCTCCTACTTGCTGAAGAAACTTCTGAGAAATATAATATTCACTCTTTAAACATTCTCTATCAGTAGGAGAAGCTTTTGGGTGGATCGGTTGCCTGGTTTGGGATTGTTAGGTTTGAGCCCATAAGTCAAGTTTTCTCAGACCCACGGCCAATTTTTATCCACTTCTCTCGTTCTCTTTTGATTCTCAACTTGCATGCTTTTTTTTTGCTTAATTCATTGATCGCATGAAGCCTTAAAGCTACGGCGATAACTTGCATGCTTCCGTCCTTGCTTCAGCAAGGACTCAGCTGCAACACCACCCCAGGCCCGCTGTCCACCCGATTTTTTTTCTCAATTGGGAAAATGACCGTCTTAATCGGTTTCCCCTTTTGAAAAAACTCATAAGGGAACCGCGAAGCTATGGTTGCGGCGTTGGTTGGTGGGTTAGGGTGTCTTTTTGTGTGTCCATGCGGTTATGTCTCTCGGATAGATAATAAAAATATTTATAACATTCAAATACAATACAGTAAAGTAGTAAAGTACAGAGTAAGGAGTAAGATATCATCTCGATCTCTCACTTGCAAAAAAAGACCATTACCATCATTATGCCAACCCCAACTCTAGAAAACCTCCCCAATTACGAATCATCTAAAAACCCCAACCCAACCGCAATCCTACCACAATCAGCTACAATCCACTCAAAGACATCGCACTAATCAAATCACAAACCTAGCCACATACCTCCAAACCGCAACAGTACCACCACTCACGAGTACAACGCCTCCCAATCCTGCGCATACAGGCTCCCAATCCTCTTACACGGCCTATCCACCAAATTGATCCTATTCCCAAACGGATCGCTAAACACCGACGCCTTCCCAAACTTCTCCTGCCGCGGCTCCTCGTCATCAAACTCGATCCCCATCCCCTTCATCTTCCCATACGCCTCGTCAAAGTTGTCGACCTCGAGGAACATGAACACGCCGTCGCCGGCCTGGTTTCCGACGGCCTTGCGCTCGCGCTTGGTGCTCGCCTTCTTGACGAGCAGGCCCATCTGCGGCGCGAGCTGGCACAGCTTGGGCGGCGTGAGCACGATGAACCGCTTCGAGGGGTCGTCGTCGTGCTCGGTGTCCTCCTGGATCGTGAAGTTGAGCAGGCCGGCGTAGAAGGAGAGTGCGGGGGCGTAGTCGGGGCAGAGGAGCGTCACGAGGGAGACGTGCTGCGTGGGCGTGAAGGTGCTGGTTTTGGTCATCCCCATGGTTGCGTTGCGGTGGAGATATTGGTTGCTGTGATGGTATGGCGGTGGTGGTACGTACTAGTTACTATCGTGATGTGTGTACTCGAATTTCGAAGTGCGAGTTTTGCGAAACGGCGATGCAGAAGAAGGACCAGTATCCGCCACGGCACAGTTAGCTCTTTTAACACATCTCTCCCTCCCCGCCAGAAACTGGTTTTGTTTCGCGGTGATCATGAAGCTGTGACGTAAATCTGGTGATGATCCCCATCCTGGCCAGGATATATATCGATCCCTGTCAAGTAACAATTTATCCATGGTGACGGGGCGGCCAAACAAGAAGTACTCTACTTCTACTTGGAAAAAAAAAAAAATGGCAAGGGATAAAAAAACAAGAAATGAGGAATTCAAACGTTCGCTAGAGTTCGACGTTGTGGAATGGGTTGTGACAGCGGGTGGCTGTTGCGTGGTGGGTTGGTCTTAAGCCTGTCTTGAGACTGCGTACTATTAATAGTAACATTTGCTAGTAAAACCGAGTGATCGTAAGAGTTGCTAACCCTAACCCACACCAACATTCACGGACGGATACTCGCTAGTCGTGAACATCCATGGACCGTTAGATATGGCATTCAAGAGGTAAAGGTTATATCAAAAACTCTCATTAACTGGCTGGGCCAATTGCGAATAGTGGTCTCTTAGAGACAGCAATAATAAAACTCTACCCTTGGATGATGTACATGTACCATAGCACTTGTTTCCTAGCTAGAAACCCTCACCGCCTCCAAGAGCTTCATATAACACCAAGCAGACACCCCCATACCCACACCAGCCCACCAGCCCACCAACCCCCAACCCCCAACCCCCAAAAACACAAAACCTAACTCACCATATACTCAACAACAAAACCTAACCCACCACACCACCACCAAGAAGAGCCCCCCCTCCATTCCCTCCACTCCCGCACCCCCCCGCCAAAAAAAAAAAAAAAATTGAATAACGCCTCGATGAGGATTCGAACCCCAGTCTCCCCTTCACAACAGTGGCACCTACGGGCTGACTTTTGGGAGGTATGCTAACCGACTGCACTACCGTGGCTTGTGGGATGGCTGCTGGGGGGTGGATGATAGCCCGTTGCGGGTCGGATACGGGATGTGGGGGGATCTAACCTTGCGGCGGGAAGGGTGGATCTAATCTCTATGTGTGCCCCGGGGGGGTGGGGCTCTGTTCTGTTGTTGTAGTTGATTGCCGCTTAGGTTGGAGAGCAGCAGCGTTTTATATGTGCCACCGGCTTCTAAAGTGAAGACACCGCCCATCCCCACACCACTCATCCACTCGTCCACACACCACCCCCACGAATAAAAACAAAAGACAGAGGCCCAAAAACCACCCCCGGCCCCACTAAACTAACCGCAGCACAGTGCCCTCTCGCCGCATGCACAGCCAGGCCACCCCCTACACATGTCTCTACTAGTACAGTAGCAGCATTCAGTTTACCCATACCTAGCTGCCATCCCCCACGCCGTTGTAGTGGGTGGGGTGTGGGCTCGTCTTGTCTGTAGTCCGGCTTTTGGGTGTGCGCGTGTAGGGATTAGTTTAGGGGCGTCATGGGGTGTCACTCGGTTTCGTGCGGTGCGGTTTAGAGTGTTTGATGGTGGTGGGGGGGGGGGGGGAGGTAGGGGAGGGCGAGGGGTGTGGGGATGTGGGGCTGGGTATGGGGTGTGTGGGTGTGCGGGTGTGGAGGATTCGTTGGTGAGAGAGGGGGGGGGGGGGGGGATGTGGTGGACGTTGGGATAGCCATTCAGATCTGAATACTGTATCTTCCGCACTCCGCATTCACTACCCTGCTACATCCACCTATCTGATCACACCCATACCCGTTCATCTAATCATAAAACCTCATGTTAAACCCCCCTCGTAGAGGACTCTCAGCAGATAGCGGACGGACGCCCGGCCCAGTCGCTAACATAACACCAAAAGCAGGGGCACGCCGGGGCCGCCGATACTCGTACTCCAGCGGCTACATTATTCTATTTTTTTTTTACCGTCTGTAGGTGCAGTGTCTGCATGCTCGATACTCACGGCAAGAATGGACCACTAGTGATCCGCGCGCCGGGGACGCACATATAAACCGAACTTGTTAAGTATGAGTTGATAGACACTCTACCACTATTTACCACTGGAGCGGACAGGTAGCTGGAGTTAGGAGGAGGAGGCCGCTGGATATTGTAGATACGATAATAAGAATGGGGGGGAAAGACAAAAAAAACACCGGGCCGCTAGATATTGCAGATAGTAGGATATATATTTACCAAGACGGGAAGGAAATAAACACCAACAGGGCCGGTAGTCCCATTTCTATATCTGTATCTATATCTATACTACCTGCATATAGTGACGGTCCAGCAGCCAGTCCAGCGTCCGCACACACACACACACACCACGAGACCAAGGCCAGCCGGTACCTACACCACAATACCTGCACGAGATCGGGGAGCCTCAAGACCTATCTTCTCTACTCTACAGCGGAAGGTACACCCCCTCCGGGGGCCGCCGGGGGTGGGACAGTACCTATGTGCTTTAGACCACCCCGCGTGAACTCACTGGCCGGACAGACAGGATATCTGCGTACTCTACTCTACAGTTCTCAGCTCGCGCACGATAGCCGGCCGATCCCAGGGCCAGGACCAGGACCATTCCGCGTACCAGAAGTACTAGAACGCGCACACCTGCCTGCCTGCACGCCGACCCGACCACGCAGCGCCGGCGGGCCAATTCCCAAACCCACCCACCCACCCACCCAATCACCGCACTTCAATTCCCCTTGAGTTCGCACCCATCTCACACCCTACCTGCAGCGAGCGCTCCAGGCCCCAGGTGAGAGTAGGTAGCAGCAACGTGTCGATCTCCCGCGGGGCCTCCGGCGGGATTCGCTCGGCTAGCGGGCTTGGCATGAGGGAGTGGAAGGAAGGCCGGGGGAGAAGGGGGAAGAGAGGGCAGAGGACAGAGGGGAAGTGAGAGAGGGCACGTCATGTGTTGCCGCGGCAATGGGGGGGTGTTGTGTCTGGTTGGTTGTGTTGGGGGGTTGGTGGGTGCAGAAGGGGAGGGAAGGGAAGGGAAGGGAAGGGAAGGGAAGGGGAAGGAACCCGCCGGGGCGCGGGGCGGTGGCGCCGTGGAGTGGGTGGGGTGAGTGGGTGAGTGGGCTGGGGCGTGTGGTTGTTGCTAATAATGGGTGGATGGATGGGTGAGTGTGTGAGAGTGTGTGGGTGGGTGGGTGGGTGGGTGAGGTGAGGTGAGGCGAGTGAGGGAAAGGAAGGGAGAGCAAGAGTAAGAGAGTGGGCGCGCCCGTTTCATGATGTGCGGTTGGAGGGCTCAAGGGGGGGGGGGGTGAGGGCGGTTGTTTGTTTGTTCCCGAGGGTTGGGGAAAGAAGGCTGGGGGGGGGGGGGGGGTGCATGGACAAGGAAAGAGAGAGATGACGGGGTGGAGAGAGAGAGACAGACAGTGTCGGGTGTTGGTTGGAGTGTTGGCTGTGGGCGTGGTGGGCGTCGTTTGCTGTGATGGGGTTGGTACGTTGTGGACGCCGCATCTGAGCTTTGGGGGGGGGGGGGGTGATGAAGCGGGGGGGGGGTGGGTGGAGAGGGTGGATGGAGTATAGTATTAGGTGGATATGTACCCCAGGCACAGCAGGCACATACAGAAAGTGCGCATAGCATAGGAGGGAGAGGGAGGGAGGGAGTGAGTGAGAGAGGGAGCTGGAGGAGGAGGAGGAGGAGGAGAAGGAGAAGGACAGAGTAGGACAGAGTAGAACATACATCATACACTACCAAAGTCTAGCAGAGAGAATACAGCAACAGATACAAGCACATGTACCTAGAGTACCTACATGCAAATAGAAAGAAAGAAAAGACGCAGGCCTGAATGATGACGATGATGACGACGAGAGGTGGAAGAATGAGGTGTGTATGTCGGAGCTGTCTGTAGTCGTAGTCGTAGTCGTAGTCGTAGTCGTGAGCATCTAGCTAGGAGGAGGAGGAGGAGGAGGAGGAGCACCTTTGTCGCCTTGAGGCAATAAACGATACATACCCTTCTAGTTCTTCCCTCTCTTTTCTTATTGCAACGACACAATGTTCCTATTCCCTCTCTCTCTATATATATTTATTTATTCCCATACCCGCGCATATGGGGTTTTTTCTTTTACCGACCGTCCCCAACAATAATAATAAAATGAGTATCTAACCAATGCCACCCATCACCATCATCATCATGGGCCATGGCCACCACACCCACCCCCGGTCTACGCGCCTTACCCAGTCGGTCTACGGCTTCGCCGCACATGCATGCTTCTCTATGGTCAGCTTGGCTTAGCTGCTCCGCCCTTTGGAAGGGCACGCCCACCCAACCCACGCCCGGCCGCTCTTTTTCCGCCCTCCCCCCCGCTCGCTTTGGGAGAGTGTGTCTGTCTTTGCCCATTCTACGTGTGCGTCCTCTGCCACCCCCCCTCTCTCCCCTTCTATTTCTCTATCTCTTCCTCTCTTCTCTTCTCTTTCCCTTCTCTCCTTCCTTTCTCTCTTCTTCAACCGTCCTTTCACCCCCCTTCTTCTCTACATCTCGACATCCTCTCTTCTTCACGTTAATAGCATTCTCGCTCTCTCTCTCTCCTTCGCCTCGTTGCTTGTGTCTTCTACGGTATTATAATCCCCCCCCCCCCACTCCACTTCCCCATAGCCACACAAGCCCCCCAGATCTATCGCGATCTTCTCCCCCCCCCCCCCACTCCCCATTCTGCTCGGTCGCCTCTCTCGGTGGTGGTCGGTGACCGTTCTGCCCGTCTCTCTTCCTAGCGTGTGTGTACTGTTCCCTCTCCACCACCCACCCACCCACCACTCCACACCACAACCACAAAACCACACCCCGTTCCTCGTTCCCCGTCCCCATCCCCGTCTTATTGGCAATTGCTGGCTGTTGCTGCTTCTGCTTCTATCTACTACTACACATATACCACTACTACTACCACACATATACCCCTTCCACACATACACACGTTATCACGCCCACAACACGCATCACGTCCCATTGCCCGAGCCCGTCACGCTGCACTGTGCTCACTCCGTGTCTTAAAGTAACAGGCTCTCCTTCCTCCACCACAACCCCACGTCTCGACGCACAGCACCACACCACTACTACTACTACTACTTACACGTTCACAACACAGCACTCCCCCCCCCCCCCCCCCGTTTCTACTGCACATAGAATACTCTACTGTAGGTTAGGTGCTATATAACACGCACTCTGATCATTGCCCTTCTCGATCCCTCTTGTATTGCAGTATACACATATACAAATACACATATACACATCCACCACCACCACCATCATGGCCGCCAGTCCGTCCACTCCCCCCCCGCTGTTAAACTCCATCGCCGTCAGCAGCGCGCCGACCCCCTCCTCGATCCCCGCCAAGCGCCCCCTCGAGACCGCCTCAACCTCGTCAACCACAACGACAACATCCTCAAACTCGTCGACGACCTCGGCCTCGTCAAGCACCTCGTCCGCGGCCGCTAACAACACCGCCACGACGACCGCTTCGACTCCCGCGGCCACCGCCGCTACCGCCGCCGCCGCGGCCACCCCGCAGACAAAGAAGGTCCTCGAGCGCAACCAGGCGTGTCTGTCGTGTCGCTCGAGGAAGCGCAAGTGTGATGTGAGTCGCGCGTCTGTTCTCGCTGGCGTGCAAATGTAATGAATGCTAATGTCAATGATTGCAGGGCGGGAAACCCACGTGTAGTGCCTGTGACAGGCTCGAGAGACGGTGCGTGTACTCGACGGGGGGGCTGTCCACCGTGACAAAGATCCACTCGTCCTCGTCGTCCTTCCACGCTAGTAGTAAGTGTTTCTTCCATTTCTCAGTGTAGAGAGTGGGGGTCTAACAGGAACAGAAACAAACAATTCAACCCCGAGCTCAAACGCGAACCGGTGGCCCGTACCGCCGGCCGTCAACACGAACGTCGAGGAGGCACACCCGCTCGTCATCCACGGGCCCTCCCCTCGCACCGCGCAGCCGCCCTCAACGCCGCCGCTGCTCTCCGCGCCCACCTCGTCGCAGAACACCTTCACGGCCATCAACCACGGCTCGTCCTCTCCCCCGGCGACACGCCCCAGCCCGAGCCCGAGCGCGCAGCTCGCACCAACAAACGGGAACCAGCGCCACTCACACGAGCCCCCCGCGAAGCGTCCGCGCTCCACCGAGGCCCCGCTGTCGTCGGCCAACCTGTTCACGGCGCACTTTCTGCAGGCCTCGCCCTTTGCCGGCAGCGACAGCGAGCTGGTATGGCCCGAGCCCGCCACCGTCGAGAGCGACACCCCGGACGCGGACTTCCCCTCGCCGGCGGCACTCACAGAGCTCGTCGAGACCTTCTTTGAGCAGATCCACCCATTCATGCCGTGTCTGTACCGCGCCGCCATCATGGCCGACATCGCCGCCGGGGGCCCCCTCTCGCGGCCCAACCCGCTCTCGTACATACTCGCCTCGCTCGCAGCGCACATCAACCCGTCGTCGGGCGTGTCGGCGCTGTCCGCGCCGTGGGCCGCCGCCGCAAAGCGTGGCTTCGACAACGCCGTCGCGCGCGGCAACTTTACGCTCCTGAACGTGCAGGCGGCCGTCTACATCTGCCTGTACTGCCTCGTCACCGCCGAGATGGCCGAGCTGTGGGTCTACCTGGCAAAGGCCTACCGCATGTGCACGCCGCTCGGGCTGCACGAGATTGACTCGCCGCGGCGCAGCGGGCGCGCGGGCGTGGGCCCGCTGGCGAGGAGCGAGCAGGAGCTGGAGGAGCAGCGCAGGGCCGTGTGGGCCGTGTTTGTGCTGGATAGGCTTGTTTCGTGGGCGCCCGGGTGGCCGACGGTTGTGGATGAGAGGGTGTTTTGTGTCAACTTTCCGGTGGACGAGGCTGTTTTCCAGAGCGGCGAGATTGAGGTATGTTTTTTTCCCCTGAGTGAGTGATGAGTTGGTGGTGGTGGTAATGATTTACTGACTGGATTTGTGTGTGTGTTTTGCAGCAAATGTCGCACATTGTGATTGAGCCGTTTGCACACCAGCTCTCGGACCTCATCACGCCGACGCCGGCCTCAGCGCCACCAAGAAGCCCCTACCACTACATCCGCAAGCTGTGCATCCTCCTCGGCCACATCATCGCGCACACACACTCCCCGCACCCGCCCACACGCACGCAGTTCGACGCGCTCGAAACAACACTCGCGCGCTTCCGGCTGTCGCTGCCCCGGCAGTACCGCTCCATCGCAAACCTGCCCAGCAGCGAGCTCACGCACGTTGCGCAGCTCAACCTGCTGCTGCACGTGTGCACGATCCTGCTGCACGAGCCGGGCTCCGAGGCCGCGCAGGCGGCCGTGGGCAATATCATGGCGGGGCTGAAGATGCTGGTCAATTGCGCGACGGAGGAGGGCGGGGCGCTGGCGAACCCGTTTTTGTGTGGGGTGCTGTTTGTGGCGGGGCGCATGCTGGCCGTTGGGTGCCGGGAGGGGAGGGGTGGGAGGGCGGAGGTGGATTTGGTGTTGGAGGTGTTGGAGAGGGGGCGGGAGTGGTGGCCGGGGTTGGCGGGGAGGTATAGGGATGTGGTGGGGGCGGAGGTGGGGAGGTAGTGTAGTGTGTTTTGGGTTTTGTAGGGGGGGTCGTTCTTTTCTGTAGTTTCTTTTTTTTTTCTTTTTTTTTTTTAAAGACAATTAGTTTTTTTTTTTTTTTTTTGTGGACTTGTGTCGCTTTCGACTTTTCTTTTGGTTGTTATATTGATTTTTTTTCTTCTTGAGTCTTCTGTGCTGAGTGTGAGTGAGTGTCCGTGTAGTCAGTCTCCTTTGTGTACTCTGTGTTCCACAATATCGTGTTCTTTTTCCTATCTATCTATCTATAGTGGTATTGAACGGGTCGGTCGGTCGGCTTTTTGTCATTGTTCTTGTTCTGTTTTTTTCTCGCACTGCAGTCCGTTTTATCCAGTTTCCATTTTTTCTATTTTGTGATTGTGGTGGTGGCCCCGCGCGGGGGGGGGGGGGGGGGGGGTTATGAATGATGAGACTGAGATGATTGGGTTGGGGATGATGGGGATGATGGAGATGGAGATGAACATGAGGAAAGGTCTAGGGTAGGATCAAAGTTGAGGACAATTGGGGTGAAGATGAAGGCGGGGAGGGGTACAAGAGGATTGCATGGATTGTATTATTAGCTTGCTGTAGTTTTTGTTGCGTTTTTGTTCTTTTTGTTTGTGAGTTGTGGTTTGTGGTTTGAGGGGTTGAGAGGGGTTGAGAGATGAAATAAATGGATTTGGGTCTGAACTTTTGATGTGCTTGTGCCTTTTTGATGTGTGTGTTTGTTCGTGATGGTGATATCTGGTGGGGCGAAGGGTGAGTGATGGACTGTGATGGACTACGGCGTTGGGCTAGGTATTGTAGTTCTGACTGGCCTGACTGGCCTGTCTGGTCCGTCTGGTCTGTATTGCAAGGTGCCATGGTGGTTACCAGTTTGCTTCGTTGCCATTGCCATATAATGCCGCGGTATGCACTGCATGACTGCCATGGTCGTACATAGCTGGATAGCTAGTTAGCTGGTTGTGTGTAGTATTAGAGGTATTGTATATCGATAGTATACGTACAGCGGCCGGGTAGCTACATAGCTAGCTACAGGCACGGCACGTGAGTGGGATTCTACATACATACATACGTATATACATATAGCCATATAGCTATATGTAGATATATAGAGATCAAGAGGGGGAGATCGAGAGTGGAAGTGGGGAGATCGAGATCGAGAGGGAAAGAGGGAAAAGGGGGGGGGGGGGGGGGGGCGCACCGAGTGATTGTTTGTGATTGTGGTTCGGTTTGTTATGGATGCATGTGGTGCCGGTGTGGATATGGGATGGGCGGGATGGCGGGTGGGGTGGATGTGAGATGGGCAGGACGGCGGGATGGAGGGATGGGATGGGCTGGGATAGGATGGGATGGGGGAGCGGGTAGCCAAGTAGGCTGGTGTACTACATACATACAGTATCAGAAACGGTGGGTAAATCCGATTACATACCGCACGAGTACAGTATTGCAATTGTGAGAAACATATACCGCTCTATCTCCGTATTTTTAAAAAGCACATATGCGGTAATTGCCAAAGACTGCGGTGGTCGTTTTATCCATGTTTCTATCTGTCACTGTGGGGTGCGTGTTGGTGGCTTGGTGGCTGTGTGGCTGTTGGGGAGTTTTTGTCAGATGTGTAGTGTAGTGTGTGTGCTCTTGCTCGTTGGTTAGTTCGAGGGACTCACTTACTGCTGTTATTACCACCACCACAGGTGCGGCTGCGGGCATCAACATCAACATCCAGCCAGCAACTTGACCCCCGGAAAAACCCAAAGAACAGCAACAAACTCGCGGCATCATTTAAAACCCAACAACCTGGTTAAACACATCCTAATTCAATTAGCCCATGCAACTAACCCCATCATATCACGACACCACATCCGCAAAACGCAACCACAATGTCAAATCTCCATTGCATCATCATTACCATGAATGGACATCGAGATACAGCTACAACCACAACTAGTTCCACCGCCTCTGTAGGCTGGGTGGGCACGGTATTACAACACAACACACAGCGGCAGTGGAGCTCGTAGTATCCCCTGCCTGCATCGTACTTGGTTGTATGGCTGGCTCGATCGAGTGTATCATGCAGTGAGTTACAATCCATAGTACTCTATGCACCGTTCGTTATGTTCCACTATAAGCTACAGTATATATTCCGAAACCCGCCAGACCCACTGCCATGGCTTCAGTCAGGCAAGATCTACGATCCAGGGGGGGATGGCCTATATATATATATATATATATCCAGCTCGATATCGACATTGTCAACCATGCATGGGCGCGGCGGCGGCGGCGGCGGTTGGGCCGGGGGCGAGTGCTACGCCATGATCCAGACAGCACACCGCATACCTCCTGGTGCGGGACAGGGTGTGTGTTGGGCGTAGCGTGGACCTTGTGAGCTCCGCAGTTGTGGAGGAGCAGTGGAGCTAATTATAATAGTCACCGCGGTATATAGAGTAAGTTATAATTACTGGGGTTGGTGGGGCCGGGCCGGGGCGGGTTCTGGGTTACATACATACATACATAGCTTGGATGTTATATAGGGCATGCGCGTAGATCGGAGTGTGGATATATATGTGAGCGATATACTATGGATATCACGAACAACCGGCTGGCTGGCCGGCTGGTGAGGGTGTGGCGCCGGTCTGCATAGCTCTAAATCCGCGGAGATCACTATCGACATGGGCCTTTCTAGAGTAACGCAAATCCGGGGTTCGCCATTGTATCTGAGACCGGGATGGGCCGCTTCACATGTGGGGCGCATACATGCGGTTGTGTGGCCTTGGCGGCGCGCGGCCGACGGATTGGTATCATAATTAATTGGACTTGCTACTTAGTCTTGGAGGTGTTTGATGTGTGGTGTTAATTTGCGGTGGTGGGGCTTGAAAAGAAATCTTTTTTGGTCTGGACTCTGGCCGAAGTCTGGTGTTTGTGACACCTAGGCTGGGAGATAGCGGGTGGTGGCTATGACCACCATTTTTTGTTTTTTTCTCTTTATATATAGAATTTAATGGTGGGAGAGGGTTGGATCTACGCTGAAGTAGCTACATGTAGACACAGCGTAGTAGATTTATAATTATATGGATGGGCCTAGTGTGAAACTACCTTGTTTCGCTCCTAGCTGGGTATGTAGCTAGGAAAAGAGACAGCACATGGGTATATATAAGTACTATCGATATACGGCAGAAACCTCTTGTAGACCGCGGCCGGCCTCATCTTTTTTTTTGATTTCACTGGATCGTCACCGGCTTGCGGGTACAGGGGTCATTTGAGCAATATTGTAGATGGCATTAAAATTGTTCTTACCATAAGGTATATATGTACCTACACCAATCATATTATAAGGCCTGACCTCTATATAAGCACTTGGCCGGTGTAGTTAATCTTTACATGTTCTATATAGAACGGTTCAGGGGTGTAGATGAACAAGCGGGCATAAAGGTATATTTATAAACATGCGCATACTTACAAGCTGCATGGGCGGGAGGGGAAGGAAAGCTAAGATCTGTATGGAATGAAATGAAGTGAGCTGGAGGAGATCAGAGGGTAAACAAAAGGAAAAGAAGAAAAAAAAAGAAAAGCCAAAAGCGCGGTAGAGCGAGAGTTGGAATTGATGGAGTACTGGTATGGATGTTGGTGCTGGTCGGAAGGTGGCATAGTTGGGGAGTCGGGGATGGGATCTGGAGGCAAAATGCAATAGAGGAATAAATGTGATATTTGAGCATAACCTAGCAGATGGGCGCGGGGTAAGACCTTCGGAAATTGGCCCACCATGTACCTACTGTACTTGTCGGGGAAGTGCGGGCGGGCGGTCTGAGGTTTCGCGGGATGCATGCGCAACGGGTGTTCAAGTCAGCAATTTGGCGGATAACATTGGCTTTTAAATCATTGGTTTTAGGTGCTATCAATCTTTGGCACTATAGTGGTTATAATAAGTATATTGTTTAAGTTTTTTAAACTGCGAAAAAGTCACCACCAAATCATTTTGGTTCAAGTAGGGATAACTTTTAGTTACGAGTATGATTGATGATGTATTGAAGGAAGAGTCCTTGGTGGCTACTCTACTTAAGTGATCCCTATAGCTAGTATGTCTAACGATAGTACAGCTGGCGGTAGAAATATGGGAGGAGTAGCCATAGAAAACCTGTTTTACACCCTTGTTTCTACAATAACAATACCTCTCGCTGTATAGCTGTCTTTAGGGACGTGGCTTAAACCGTGTCCTTATATTGGTCCGTTTACACGAGATAGTGAAGTATGCGCCGCGCCTAAAGATTAGGCGCCGAAGCTGCAAAGGTAACCGAACCAGTCTAGTAGATTACTAAAACTCATCAAGCTCCATCTGAGTGTGATCCAGGTCTACGCCAAGATCCTGGGGATCAGTATCATCAGTATCAAGTTTATAGAGATGTAAGAAGACTTTGTTTTGAAAGTCGAGCAACTCGGTATCCTGTTCCCTGCCTTAGTTGGGGTAGTATGAGGGCTTAATCTTGCTGCACTTGAAAGTAAGTCAATAATCCAACTGAAGATGATCCTCCTCTCCTCCGGGAACCTGTAGTCGTACGTCGCCGATTCGTATACATTGTTATCGTGGCCGGTAGGGGCGAAGCAGTACGTACCTACGTGCGTTCAAATGCAATCCCATAACAGGTAGTTACCGTGACTAATGAAGCTGAGATATACCTGCAACCATCGGAATAAAATCCTTGGACGTGTTCGTTCGTTTTATTCTCTTGGTGGCGGAGTTTCTTCATGATTCCTAAGTACGTTAAGAGTTGATTACGCGCTTGACTAAACATGGTTGGGTTCTTTGCCCCAATAGCTATGAGAACTGTCCCAACACCTGAGCCTTTCCACCCATCGTAGCCAAATGCCCAATTGGCTTTTCCGGTTATGCGAAGGCGGCGGACGCAACCACCCTCGATATCCGCCCTCTTTTGGTCCTCAATTTCAACAGACTGATCCATTTCAGTATAGACGATTAGAGGGAGGGGGCGATTCGGGTTAGCGCTAGACACTTCGAGGGGTAGTATAGTACTCTGTCTGTCGGTATCGGAGGCTGCAAAAGTTCCGAGATAACTCAGTTTGCAAGCGCTTATCATATAATCGACCCGAATTCGGCACGATGCTCCGTCGTCATAATCTGCCTTGTCGAAATATCTCATATTTATCTCTATAAGGGTTAAATTAGAACTGAACATGAGAAGCGCAGGGTCAAGGTTGAACTTACACAACAGAGGCGGAACGTCCAAGAGCAGTTCTACCGGCCGATTGAGGCTCCGAGCGAAAGGTCGTTGGCCGGGAGTCACCGGCACCCGAAGACCGAAAAGCAGGATGAGAGAGCTGTTATCCGTATACCCGGCGGCGATCTAATCAACGCCTTAGTATCACTTTGTGTTAGGCAAAGGGAGTATGGAAAGGGGGACGTACGGATTCAGCTTTTGGCTCGACAAAGACGAATTGAGTGACGAGGTCCAAGAGGAGTTGTGCTTTATCCGTGTCTTTTCCTTCATGTTTTCTAGATTCATCAAGTAACCTCTGCAGCAGTTCCCTCTGCAGCAGTTCCCTCTTACGCATAGCCATATTCCTATATGCCCACATTCCTAACGTGATGCCGTGACTCGGCGCGATTCTGCTGTGGGGCGGAGGTTTCGGTAGTCAGGCCTCCCGATGTGATTTTGGAGAAGATTGTCATTTTGAGTGAGGATTCTTTTGCTGACGAGTGGCGGGGACCGTGGTGGAAAGTTTCCGAGAATACCCAGATGTAGAAGAATCGAATTGTGGATTTTATTCGAGACTAGAGCCTTAGAGAGGAAAGAGAAGAGGAGTCCCTCCTTCTCTTTCTCCCGATTTATCTCCCATCCTCTAAGATACGTTGCCACCTCCTCCATTATTGCGTGGGATGTCTGGGATGCATGTGCCAAGATCTTTAAGCCTCATCCATATGGTGAGTGCAATCGTGTTCAGAAAAGCTTGGTATGGGACGAGTGATAATTTATGATCGTTACGAACCCTAGTCCTAGTAGGGAAAGAGATACGAATACACAAGAACTGGATACCAGCAAGCTGGCTTGGCCCCAGATGTATGTTTATAGTACTGTACATGGAGCCACCTTACGCGAGTTATATGTACACGCAATTATTACTTTGTGGTTTGCCTATAAATGACTATATTTCTTATATACTTGTTTACCACAAAAAGAACTAGAAAATGGAGTTGCTCAGGGCAAGGATTATTTGTATGGGGTGGCAGTGATCTCTCATACAAACTACATATCTCTGTTTCCGCCACTTGCATTTTCTGGTTCTTTTCGTGGTAAACGAGTACATGTAATTCTGACCTTTTAACTAGTAGCACTGCGCGGAACTAGTAGGGGCTTTAAAGCACAACTCCCCTCCTCCCGGATCCCCTCGTCGTTTGGTTGGCTACAGTTCAATAGAGATAAGGTCTTATACCAGGATATATATGCCAAGGAATGACACTACGACAGAGACTATGACATACGTAACGTCCGGAAAAAGCTCCCAGGCTCGCAAAACTGAATCTGGCTCGCTGAATAATCATCATTTATAGCGAACTAAACGGTTTCACAGCTGACCCCTCTGTTTCTGATATTCCGGGAAATAGAGAACCGGGTAATGAAAGGAGATAAGGGAATATGCATGCTGGATTATCCCTTCATCGATAATCATTAATAACCAGGCCCTAAGGCTGCCATATATACACAGTAGATAGAGCAAGATTTATGGCTTTACTGGTAACATGGGCTATACTTTCAATGCCGCACTATCCTAAGCGGAGGGACCAGAGCTAGAGTTGATCTCTCGTAGAATCAAATCTTTCTAGTTGAATGTGAAAGAAAGTATGTAATCAATGGGGTACAAACCTACAAAAGCAAGTCATGCGCTAATAGTACTTGCGCGCAATCGTGCTAGGGCGGGTTTGTCTCATACAGTATAAGTATGTACATGTAGTACCTATATGTACTCCCAGCTTCAGATAATATCGCTTCCAAAAAAATCATTTCCGAACAAATTACTGCATCTAATCCCATAAAATGCTAAAAACACAATCGCGAAAAGTGTTGGGAAGATTACGCCACCCTTTTAAGGCCCGGGCAAAACGCCATCTCCAAGGACATCACCCTACCGAGTTCCTCGATTTACCAAACTCGCTCATCATTAAAATTGCAAAGCTCCTGGACATAAGATCCCTTAATTCTCTCTACCGAACGGGTTACGTCCTTTCAACCTTCTGTCGCCACTTGTCTTAATAATGGCAGTTGATACGATCATATGTTTACGCACGAGACTACGTCTAACGGGGCGTACTATCTTGCACTGGGCCTCGGCGCGCGGCCGCAAGTCTCTAATACTCAAACTCCTCGCGCAGGGGGCAAAGATCCATGTCAACAGGACGGACGAAGATGGAATGACTGCACTCCACTCGGCCACCCTTCTCGGGAATTGGGACATAGTTAAGCTACTTCTGGAGAATGGAGCCGATATTGAGGCTAGGAATGCAGAGGGATGGACCCCACTCCTGTGTGCATCAATTACAGGCGACCATCAAACAGCCAGTATCCTGCTGGAAAAAGGAGCAGATATCGCGACAAGATGTCTGAAATATCCTAGATGGACTGCGCTGTATTACGCTGCAGCTCTGGGGAGGTTTGAAGTGGTCGACCTCTTGATAAAGAGGGGTAGTAGCATTGAAGCCACAGAAATGTCAAGAGTAATTTCGAATGCTGTGGTAGCCGGAGAGAAAAGAACCGTTCAGCTGTTGTTGAGCCATGCGAAATATGACACAGTACCGAAAGTGACCTGGCCTGAGCATGATCTCTCAAACATGTTAAGTAGTATGGCTAAGTCGGACATGTTATACCGTTCGTATTTTGAACATGGTCTAGTAGAAATTCTATTTGAGGCATTTACGTGATAATTGGTTATTAGAACTGAGTTCATTTTATAAATTTTAAATATATCTTTAGGGTTAGATATAGATAAGAAAAATACAGTTAGAAGATTAGCTCTGTATACATTTGTAGTAGAACTTATAAAAATTAATACCCTGATACAATAATTTGATCCCCGGATTTACTTATACCCCACTCTAAGAGGTATGGAAATGCATCGGTAAATGCTTAAGGTTGTTGGGAAATGGAGATCGACTCGCGAGGTACTATTTTTCTATGGAAAAATGCATAGAGAAATGAACTAGTAAATACATTAGAAGGTGCGCCAGTATATATATGTAATTGAAGGGAAACAGAGTATATTCCTGGGCTTCCTGGCAGTGGGAGAAAAAAGAGTAGGGGGTACGAATGGATCCCGAACCTCTGCTTGTTAGCGCACTATGGTTTTGTTTCCTATTATGATTACCTTAACGTCGAAATGCATAAAATTTTGAGCCTTATTACGTACAGAGAGTCTTAATTAAGCATATTACATACATTATTTACCAAAGGAGGTTAAACTAAGCGTTTATCTGGATTAGTAATATTAGCTGCTATTGCTTTTCCCAAAATAGGGTCAATTTGATGCTTTTTAATTCGGTAATGCTGTGCTTAGGTTTAGGGTTACCAAAAATACTAACCCTAATCCGTCAATAAGGTTTAATGTCTTAATTACGCCTTATTCTCGATGCATCTTATTCAGGAATAAGTAGATTGATGGATATTTGATGCCGATATCGACGATTAGGCTTAGATAGTACCGATACACTTGAGCATCAAATAAGCAATATCAGGCACAAATGCTCAAATACCGATACACCTAAGCACCATATACGCAATACTGACGGTATAATCGGTGTTTGGTGCTGATACTGACGATTAGGCTTATATAGAGCTCAATAAGCAACTCTGGCTTGCTTGGCACAGGCCAAATTACACTTCCAGCGACACCCCACCTTCCACCTCCACCTCCCGGGCCACCTCCGAGTCTACCTCCACCTCTAGTACCTCCACCTCCATCTCTATCTTTACTAGTATCTCTATCTCGATACACCTCCAGGTTACCGGCCAATCAATCGTCAACATGCTGCTCAAAAGCCTCCTGCTAGTACGTAATTTGGTGTCCTCTGTCTAGCACGTAATTCTGCTGCCAGCGCATCTTTGCTTACTTTGCTCAGGGTGAGATTTAGGCACGGAATCGAGCACAGAATCGAGCACGGAATCGAGAACGGCCCGGGAATCTACCCTTTGATGCCCAATTGATGCAGTAGATGACGACATACACTCTATTCCTAGGAAGGTTGATGATTTGGCTGATGTACTAGTAGTAGCACTAGATACCACCTCCTCTGAGCCTAGTAGTAGCACGCCACCACTAGCAATATACCGTCGACACCGTACTCAAGGCTACAGGAAGTGTGTAATCTACGGACGGCACAGAAGAGGATTTGGAGGTGGAGGACACGGACACGGAGGAGCTACTAGTAGAAGCAACTTGAAGGAAACCGTAGCTAAACGGGGTATTATACTCATGTACTAGTACTAGTATATATATATAGTAAATATAGATTAATAAGATATAATATACCAAATCAAGAGTAAACAGTGCTATTGCTTATTCGTACTAGATGACGCTCAAAAAAGTAATAATCATATTTAGGCTCTTAGTCTTATCTAAAAATCAACATTTAATAAGCAAAAATTCGGTGTAAGCCTTGTTCCCGGAATAGGGCTTATTTCATGGTTATTTAGTACGCCTGATTCCTGGATCAGGTTTTCAAAAAATTAATGGTTAAAAAATCATTACTTCGGGATTTGACTTATTGATATTACTAATCAATATCTAGCGCTATGGATTTTCCAAAACGTAGTCTTACAATACAATTAAACGAGAATAAGACCAAAACATGGGAAAACGCTCAAATCTTGCTTATATAGTAAGCATCAAATAAGCAATATAAAAGGCTCAAAATTGTATGCGTTTCGGCGCTAAGGTATATAACCTACGACATAATCTGCTATAAATAAGTAATATCCAAGGGCTATATATTTCTAGTATAGTCGTGCCAAGCAAGTAGCGTGGGAGACTTGAAGGCATCAGTGTATCAATATAAAAGCATCGGGAAATACATTCCAGGATAAGTTTCCCGACAACATCCTATGTTCATATACCTTCTATACCTTTTTCTACCTTTCATTTTGTGGGTAATGTATTTCGTACTGTAATTAATGCGTTTCTACGCTTGGTAGAGCCACTAGCTAATCCTTGCACCAAAAGCCACTAGTGCTACATCAGTCCCAGGATTCTCAGGGAGTAAACAAAATAAAACTTAATAGCTACGTGTACGATAATAATTGTGAAATATACACGACTCGTTTCGTTAGCATCTATCAATTTCGTTTTGTTATTATTTATCTGCTTTTCTGAGTTCATCGGTTCATATATGTGTGGTGCTACATATAGCTGACTCTTGAAGCGTTGCCTGTTCGTGAGAACCTTCAACATTCCTTCTACCCAGCATTCCATCTGAAGAACCACAAAACATCCCTCCTACCAAGCTCTTCATCTGAAGAACCACATAACATCCTTATACCAAACTTTCCATCTGAAGAACCTCACAATGAATACCGGCTCCGTCGGACGGGGGGACTCCGATGTCCCCAACATACACCAGAAGAAACTTTAACAAACCCCACGATGACATCTCCTACACCGAGGAAACTTAAAAAAGCCCTATGATACCACCAGCTCCATCGAACCAAACATCCCAACGTCCCCAACATACACCAGAAGAAACTTTAAACCCTACGATACCAGCCAATAAAAAACCGTCAGAGAATGAAGACTCACCTGTTGCCAGCTCATCCTCCGCCTTAGCTGACGGAGGAGCGGAGGATGTATCTACCCTAGCTGACAGAGCAGCAGAGGATGCACCACTACTAGGCTCCGCTATAAACTAACAGGCGAGTAGGGGTGATTCAACCGCCATTGGTGGCCCAGTGCCCAACAAATGGTGGATTCAAGCATTGCTTCCAAACATGAATGGGGGGAGCACAGTTTTCTCGCAATCGTGGTGGTATTTGTCCTTTCCCTCTGTATCTTGTAGCAGCAGCATACATAGCTAACCTAGCTGTGGCTCGAAACTCTGCTAAACTGGATTCATCTACCCCAGCGGTGGCGGCTACCGTCTACATCTACATATTGAAAGCTAATATTACCACACTATATACTAATTAGTATCTGGTTGTGCTCAATATATAACCTTTTAGCTTTCTGTATCAATACCGTCTCTACTACTCTATCACTATGGCCTGGAGAGTTGAACAGAAATCGCCCCTATCACCCGATCTTCAGACTGATGTGGAAATGCGAGGGAATAGACTTTAGGCAGGTAGGATAACTAGTAACTCTTTTTTAAATGACACGAATTTATTAACAAGTGTTTAGTTATTGCGCACATGAAAAGGAGGGCGCAAGCTTGCAAGATTCATTTTACCAAAGGAAAGGAGATTGGGTTAGTTTTCTTCGATATCATCCAATTTTACCATCATTAACCTTCATTAATAGTCAAATTAAGCTCGAGCCTTTTTAATACTAGTTCGACAAGCAAGCAGTATAAGAGCCGTAATCGTGTACATTTAGTAATGTCGAATCTCTTAAATACAGCTTATATTATACTCATGGCAATTGAAACATTAATTTTATCAATAACAAAATCTTTTGGCCTTGTACGCGTACGGTTTTAAAATTAATCGATCACTGGCACCCTCATAGCAACCACATCTATCCTACGAAGAAATTTCACATTGAGACCTTCAAGGTCAAAAGGATAGACTTATTCCTGGCAAGTATCTAACTTCATTTATGGGAGTGAGAATTACTTAATTGCTCTTCTATAGCTAGTTGTTGAGTTATTCAAACCTACAGCTGGAGTTGGGTTCGACGTTAATTGTCGTGAGTGACCGGTTAATTTTGTAACCCTACAATAACTCAACAGCCGGAACCCTGGATTCAAGACAGAGCTTACTCAGCACTTAATTCTACCCTAAAAACAACCTACAACGATATTTCTTGTTTTCTTGTGATGGTTTACGTAACTTGATTTGAGGTATGCTGCAACCACTACTCGTAGCTTCATAGTGTTTCCGAACACGACCATACTCGTTACTGTTGTGCAAGCCCCAGGGCAATCCGCTATCATTGACCTAAACTCCAACAACATCGCTTACTAGCAACACAACGCCCATCCTTCCTCCCTGCCCTGGAAAGTGGCAACAATATTTTTTTTGGTGAAGTTGACACGCCCGGCCCCTACGGTTTCGCGCAACATATTGTACGGGGTTTTTAGTTTTTTTTACTTTCCCACTTTCCCGCTTTTTTTCGCTTTAGCGCTTTTAAATGAGATTATTAGGTGGTAACAAATTCTGAATCTATATACCTTACAATAACATCTTTGGTAGTATAGTGGTTAGTATACTCGCTTGTCATTTCATGAACCGCGAGTGACCGGGGTTCAATTCCCCGCCAGAGAGTATCACTGAATCCTGGGTGTCCTGTTATGGCTCCCATGGACATCTTTTTCACAGTTATTTGATTGAGCTTTTCTCTATTAAGGAACCTTGACTTCAATTTTGCTTTCCGCGAGATAGTATGAGGGTTGGAGGGAGGAGTCTGATCAGTGGCTTATTTTTCATAGCAGCGCGCACAACATTCCTGTCCTAAACACATAAACAGCTAACCTCAATAAAAAAAATACAAAGAGCCCGTCGGGCTTCGATTCTGCGGTCTTTCTACATAAAATTCTCGAGTAATAAAGCACACTAAGGCATGGGATGCCACTAGTTGCCGATAGATCAAGACCATGAGACAAAAATTGAAAATGATGTTTTGGGCATGACATATGAGCACGATATCATTATTGAGTGTATAATCGACTCGATAGCTGCGCTGGAGACAGACTTGGGTTCCTTGATTAGACTGTGG